GCCTAACAAAGTCAAAGACAGGTTTCTTCTAAAAGGATAATGTGGAGGCTTTTGATGAGATACCCCCCCCCCCCCCCCCCCCAAAAAAAAAGCTAGAAAAAATTTTGCAGTCGTATATTGGTATGACGTTGGCGTCGTTGTCGTCGTCCGAAGACACATTGGTTTTCGCACTCTAACTTTAGTTTAAGTGAATGGATCTCTATGAAATTTTACCATAAGGTTCAATACCACAAAAGGAAGGTTGGGATTGATTTTGGGGGTTATGGTACCAACAGTTAAGGAATTAGGGGCCAAAAGGGGCCAAAAATAAGCATTTTTGTAACTTCCAGACATAACTTGTGTGTTAGTGTATGGATCTCTCTGACATTGTACCACAAGGTTCCATATCACAAAAGGAATGCTGGGATTGATTTTGGGGGTAATTGCCACCAAATTTTAGGAATTAGGGGCCAAAAAAAGGGGCAAAAAACAAGCATTTTTGTCAAGCCTTCGACTTTTGTTGAAAAAGCGACACATAGCGATCCTGCATTCCATTGGTGGCGGCGTCCACAAATATTCACTCTGTGGTTAAAGTTTTTGAAATTTTAATAACTTTCTTAAACTATCCTGGATTTCTACCAAACTTGGACAGAAGCTTGTTTATGATCATAAGATAGTATCCAGAAGTAAATTTTGTAAAAAAAAAATTCCTGTTTTTCCGTATTTTACTTATAAATGGACTTAGTTTTTCTGCCAGGAAACATTACATTCACTCTGTGGTTAAAGTTTTTAAAATTTTATTAACTTTCTTAAACTATCCTGGATTTGTACCAAACATGGACAGAAGTTTGTTTATGATCAAAAGCTAGTATCTAGAAGGAAATTTTTATTAAAATTTTGTACTTGTTTATCCATATTTTACTTATAAATGGACTTAGTTTTTCTCCCAGGTAACATTACATACAGTCTGCAGTTAAATTTTTTAAAACTTTTATTAGATTCATAAATTATCCTGGATTTTTACCAAACTTGGACAGAAGCTTCTTACAATAAAAAAATTGTATCGAGAGGAATATTTTTATTAAATTTTTTCCTCATCTCATTTTTGTTAAGCCTGCGATTAACTGCAAAAGTAGGCGAGACACTGGGTTCCGCGGAACTCTTACGAATTTTTCTAGTTTCATGACAATAACTTGTGTGTAAGTGTATGGATCTTTCTGAAATTGTACTACAAGGTTCCATATCACAAAGGGCAAACTGGAATTGAGTTTGGGGGTATTTGCCTAAAACGTTTTAGGAATAAGGGGCCAAAAATAAGCATTTTTCTAGTTTCCAGACAATAACTTGTGTTCAAGTGTATGGATCTCTCTGTAATTGAACTGCAAGGTACCATACCACAAAGGGAAGGCTGGGATTGATTTTGGGGGTAATTGCCTCAAAATTTTAGGAATTAGGGGCCAAAAAAGGGGCAAAAAACAAGCATTTTTCTAGTTTCAGGACAATAACTTGTGTGTAAGTGTATGGATCTTAATGAAATTGTACTTCAAGGTTCCATATCACAAAGGGAAAGCTTGGTTTGAGTTTGGGGGTAATTGCCCTAAACGTTTAGGAATTTGGGGCCAAAAAGGGGCCTAAAAACAAGCATTTTTTTCTAGTTTCCAGACAATAACTTGTGTTCAAGTGTATGGATCTCTCTGAAATTGTACTGCAAGGTACCATACCACAAAGGGAAGGCTGGGATTGAGTTTGGGGGTGATGAATTATAAGGGGGTTCAATAAATTTTGGGGAGGGATTTTTTTTTCCTTTTTTTTTTCTTTAAAATTTTCCATTTTAAATTGGTTATTTCTGATTTATATATAAAAGCAAATAATAATGATATGGTTTGAATAGGTAAATTAAAAAATTTTGTAGTTCTTTGACCACATTCATTCTGTGTCAGAAAACTATGCTGTCAAATATTTAATCACAAACCAAATTCAGTGCTGTATCAAGCTTGAATGTTGTGTCCATACTTGCCCCAACTGTTCAGGGTTCGACCTCTGCGGTCGTATCAAGCTGCGCCCAGCAGAGCATTTTATTATGGTTTATTCTGGTGCATTCTTGCAGGTTATTTACTGTAGTATTTTTAGCCAATGAGCCACATTCTGATGACATTTTCAGGACACATTGAAAAGGTCTGTTAACTTTGAAAAAAAAAAAATAAGAATTGAATAGAATATTTAAATGTGTAAAAAATTAAGTATGTATAAAAGTATAGAAATTACACTTGTAAAATGGGAGTTGATTTGCATAAATTTTCCTTGTAGAATAATAATTAGAAATTTAAAATGACAAAAATTTGTTGATGAAAGATAGGTATCAAGGTCTTATTTATTGACCTGACCTAGCTAACAGCCACAGCTAGGTACTTACTTAACATGTTTATGCTTATATGAATTGAATAACAGGTGTTTATCACTTCCAGGGTCTTAACTGCAGTAGTTTAAAGAGTGATCATTCATTTTGAATGGAGTGAGGTCAAAAGTCACACTTCTTAAGTTCAAATAAACACCTTGCATATCAATCTATGATGTGTTTATTACTAGACCATTGTCAGGCCATGTCTGTCCATTACATCATAGGATAACCAGTCTTCATGAAATTTACCTGATTTGAGGATTTGAATGACTTTCACTTTTGCCAAAAAAATTCCAGTAATATATTTTCAGGAAATTTAAAACAAGTTAGAAGCTTTCTTTCAGCTTTGATATATTTCATTATAATCATTTCGGTTTTACTGAGACGCTGACATTTTTACACTTTGTATGTATAAATGAATCATTCCAAAGTTACAGGACTATATTGACAAAAACATTGACATTGTTTCCATTTTTTGTCTCGCCTGCGACTTCTGTCACATAAAGCGAGAAATAGGGATAGTGATCTGACGATGTTAAGTTTATGTGATACTTGTAGTCAAACCTTCATATTACAGACTTTCAACATGAAAATCAAATCAATGATAAGTAAAACAGGCAAGACATTTCAGCATGTGCAATTTTGTTAACCAATCAATTGGATCCATCTTTGTGGTCTTTTGGTATCATGCTCACCTTAAGTGCAGAGGTTGAAGGTTGAACTCAAAACCAAAGGTCAAACCAAGGATTTAAAAAAATGGTGTTTGCTTCTTCTAGAAAAGACTGGTAGGCCAACTTTCAGTTTAATTTGTCAGGGTGGCACATGTCTTTCTGCGAACTGTTACTTTTGAGCTAGTATGGTTAAATATTCTGTTGAGTGTGTCAGTTCATAGCAGGGTTCATATTTATTCAAACTGATAGTTCTCATTCTGAATATGTTTGACAGATTACAACTGAAATTAAAAAAAACTTCCATATACCCATCCATTTTCTGGTAATTGGGAACAGTCATTTTATATTTTAATTTGGAAATGGATCCAAACTTGACGGAATCACTTCAAACCGTGCACTTTAAATATATTCAATATATAACACATCATCATATTTCAATGGATTTAGCTACTATTGACTAGACAAGCTGTATATCAAATCTTCTTTCCTAGTCATGGGAGAATAACCACTTAAAACACATTTTTTCAAGAGGTTTCAGACCGCTTCACATGTATTTGCTAGATATTAAAAAAAATTAACTGATGTGAAATTTAAATTTTATTAAATATTTTAAATGACTTGTAAAAAAAGTTGCAAACTCATTTAGTTATATAAAATAAATATACTTTTATAAACAAAATCAGTGTTTTAAAACAATTTAAAAAGACCCTTATGTTTTAAAATGTAACTACATTTGCTAAACACAAGGTGGATCTTGTGCAGCTATTATTTTATTTTTTTTCAGTTTTTTGTTTTTGTTTTTGTTTTTTTTTTAGGGGGGGGGAGGTTCTCCAGTGCAAAATATGGACTCAGCTATTTCCTACATTTGTGGAAATAAGTCTATGAAAGCTTTTTTTCATTTTATATTTTAATTTGGAAATGGATCCAAACTTGACGGAATCACTTCAAACCGTGCGTATTTGTGGACCTGTTGCTTTTTTTTTTACCATTTTGATTTTGGTTTTCCCTTAGAAAAACATCTACTTTGTCTTTCTATTATGAGAAGTGTCTACACAAAATCTTTCACAGTTTGCTTTGAATGGAAGCTTAACAGGATTGCATCATCACATGTGAAGTTTAGTGCAGATAAAATAATAATTATTGTTAATATTTTTGTCTTTGATACTTTGGAAAGGAAAGGGAAAAGGGGGAGACATATATTTTTTGCGTTATAATCCTTTATTTGGGTCTGTTTTAGCATGCTAAATCTCTTGCTTCTGTAATAATCTCCAATCAAAACATCTAAAAGAAAGTGTTTATTGATTACTGAAAGAGATACATCACACTTAATGGAAATAATCTTTATAATATATTTGTTTTTTTTTTAATTATACAGATAACAAAACCCCTTTTACATGTAATGGAGGGTATAAAACTTGATTTATAATAAATTTTGATAAATAAGTACACATATAGTAAAATATTTATCAGCAGGTACCAGGTAATTCTCCACACTTTATCTGACATACTTGAGGACTAGTGTTGCAAAGAGTAATAAATAGGTCTATAAGAAAGTACAGTATGACACAGCAAATACTTTTATCTTCATTTATATACAAACATTTAAATTTTCTACCAGCTAGGATACTCATGTTACAATGTATTATACTGAGTAAACAAAGTTAAGCAACATATATATTAATAAATAAAAAAAAAAAAATTTAAAAATTGCAGAAATAAAATTAATAATCAAGTTTTTGTCGAGTAAAAAATTGCACCTTATATAATTTTTGTTTTTTTAGAAGTATAGTTTATTTTTGAAATATGAAATGAAAAAGATTGTTGCTAAATTTATTGTACTCAGTATAGATAGTAACCCGAAAATAAATGTTTATTGTTAAATATGTCATTATTTTCTGAAAGCCATCATGGACTGAACTGATGTAAATTCTATATTTCTTTATTCTTTTCAGGTCATTCTGGACTACATTACAACACTAGGGTTCAACCAGAGACGATATACATTATGTACAACTTATCCTCGACAAGCACTTTCTGATCAAAGGGAGCTAACTCTAAGTGAATTGAAGTTTACCAAGCGCACAACATTAAATATTGAAGAAATACTATAATGATTTTGAATGTATAAATATTTTGAATTGTTATACAATTGTTTTGGTATAGATTTATGATTGGGCATTCAAAAGAAGATTTAAAAACCTTAAAGTTAAGGCTATTTTAATCATTCAAACACATTTTTAAAACATCATGAAGGCTGCAGGTTCTAAATATTAATATTGGTGAAAGAAAACTGGTATTTTACTGAGGTCTTAAAGTTTTCTAGTAAAAAATACAATAACTAATGGTAAAACCAGTCAGATTCAGTTTTGACACAGTCACAGCAATAACTAATGTTTCTAATTTATATAAACAGTCTTGGAAAATAGGACAGAAATAATTTTTTGGTTAACATTAATAAGAAAATATTGCAATATATGAACTGTGTTAGATAGAAATCAACCTTATGCAAGTGCACGTATACATGTATATGTATAAGACTTTGATTGATTTTGGAATATTCAAATATGAAATAAAAGATGAATTTTGGTCTGTTTTGTAGGGTTCTTATATCACCTTAATTTTCAAACAGTTATAGACTTTGCTAGAGTTTTTTCAACCTGAAATAAGTTAACAGATGTATTGGTATTCATTTGCATAAGGTTGATTTTTATCCGACGCAGCTTATATGTTATGAATATTTCTGATTTGTTTACGTTGTCATGATTGGTGGAATTCATGCAGTCAAATTAAAAATGTCAATTGAACTTTTAGGCATTGTTTTTTTTTATATTCTATTTTTACATATCATATTTATGTATTTAAGAAGAAACAAATATCTACAGAAAAAGAAAGAAAGAAATGGATAAGAGGTTTTTTAGATGATTTAATACCAAAAGTGGAAAAGAGGAATAAAAAAATGAACATGCATTTAAGGTAGAAATGAGGAGAGATAATAACATTTCATCTCATATTTGTAGACTTTTTATAGGCAGAATTATTATTTGACCAAGATCAGAAAAGATGACACCCAAAGGTTGACTGGGGAATAAAGAATGATCACTTTGGTCTTCTTCCGACTGGCAGATTAAACCTTGCCAAAGTGGTGAGTCTGTTTGGCTGTGTGGGATGTATAATTATGTAGCCACATCCCATCAGAATGGGGATATTAAATCTGATGCCTTGTATAGAAAGAGTCCCTTGCAACAACTCTTTGAAGGGTCTGTAGGTGGTATGTTACAAAGCAAAATTTCTGTCCCTATCCAGTATACCCTCATTTTCCAGTGGCACTCCCAATTTTCCCCGACAGCCTATATTGCAGGACCTACCAAATGTATTTATTGTTGATTTGTTCTTGTCCTGAACATGCATGAAATATATGCTATCGGACGTTAAGCAAACATCAATCAATCAGAAAAGATGAAAGGAAGTTCTCTTTAAAAATTGAAGCGTTTTTAAATGATTTTTAGGGATAGGTATTATCATGCCCTGGTGGCTCAGCTGTTTATGAGGGATAGGTATTATCATGCCTTGGTGGCTCAGCTGCTTATTTAATAACTGATCAGCCTGTTTTGATTTTTATACAACCGCAAAAAAATTTTGTGGTCGTATATTGGTATGACGTTGGCGTCGTCGTCGTCGTCGTCCGTTGTCGTCGTCGTCCGAAGACACATTGGTTTTCGCACTCTAACTTTAGTTAAAGTGAATGGATCTCTATGAAATTTTACCATAAGGTTCAATACCACAAAAGGAAGGTTGGGATTGTTTTTGGGGGTTATGGTACCAATAGTTAAGGAATTAGGGGCCAAAAAGGGGCCAAAAATAAGCATTTTCTAGTTTCCAGACAATAACTGTGGAATGGTGTATGGATCTCTCTGAAATTATACTACAAGTTTCCATACCACAAAGGGATGGTTAGGATTTGCTTTGGGGGGTTATGGCTCAAACCGTTTATGAATTGGGGGCAAAAAAGGGGGAAAAACAAGGTTGTCCTGGTTAATGGACAAATACTTTAGTACAAAACATAATTAAAAGCAGTGTAAGGGAGATAAATCAAATACATCATTGAAATTACCTCCCTTACACTGCTTTTAAATTGTGTATAAAGTAATGGTTAATGAACAATTAAGATAATTTAAAACAGTGTAAGGGAGGTAATCCAAAAACAACGTTTTGGTTACTTCCCTTACACTGCTTTTAAATTATGTTTAAAGAAATGTATTGAAAAAGAATTGAAAAGAATTGACACTATATTTTAAATTCTATTATAAAATAGATTAAGTTAGCACTATGTTAAATTTAAATGGGTTTTTATGGTTGCAAACTCCATTGGAAATTTGAATTGAGATTATGACCATATCTTGAGGGAAAGAATTTTTTTTGGGGAAAAAAGGGGGGGGGGGGGTGGGGGGGGTAAAAAGAAATTGTGGGGGGTCAATTTTTTTTCGTTTCAGATTTCAGAAATTAAAAAGAATTATTCTTCAAATATTATTTTTTTTTCAAATTTCAAATATTGAAAAATTTCAAGAAGTAATCTTTAATTGCACAGTATGGTGCATTAGATTTGTAAAATCTTTGACCACATTTATTTATTTGTTATGCCGAATCTAACCGTGTATTTAGATTTTTAATTTTGTGTCCAGTTTATAAATTGGTCTACATTAAGGTCTAAAAGGTCCAAAATTAAACTTTGTTTGATTTTAACAAAAATTGAATATATGGGGTTCTTTGATATGCTGAATCTAAACATGTATTTAGATTTTTGATTTTTGGCCCAGTTTTCAAGTTGGTCCAAATTGGGGTCTAAAATTAAACTTTGTTTGATTTCAACAAAAATTGAATATGTGGGGTTCTTTGATATGCTGAATCTAACCATGTATTTAGATTTTTGATTTGTGGGCCCAGTTTTCAAATTGGTTCATATTGAGGTCAAAAGGGTCCAAAATTAAACTTCGTTTGATTTTATCAAAAATTGAATTATTGGGGTTCTTTGATATGCCAAATCTAACCGTGTATTTAGATTTTTAATTTTGGGTCCCGTTTTTTAAATTGGTCTACATTAAGGTCCAAATGGTCCAAAATTAAACTTAGTTTGATTTCAACAAAAATTGAATTCTTGGGGTTCTTTGATATGCTGAATCTAAACATGTGTTTAGATTTTTGATTATGGGCCCAGTTTTCAAGTTGGTCCCAGTTGGGGTCCAAAATTTAACTTTGTTTGATTTCAACAAAAATTGAATATATGGGGTTCTTTGATATGCTGAATCTAAACATGTATTTAGATTTTAGATTTTTGGCCCAGTTTTCAAGTTGGTCCAAATTGGGGTCCAAAATTAAACTTTGTTTGATTTCAACAAAAATTGAATATATGGGGTTCTTTGATATGCTGAATCTAACCATGTATTTAGATTTTTATACGCCCGTTTACGGGACGTATTATGGTATACTGTTGTCCGTCTGTCCGTCTGTCCGTCTGTCCGTCCGTCCGTCTGTCCGTCTGTCCGTCCGTCCGTCTGTCCGTCTGTCCGTCCGTCGTCAACATGTCGGACATTAACTCAAAAACGCTTTAACCAATTTGCATAAAACTTTGGTGAATTGTTTATATCTATTGACGTGAGCTCCCTTTCGTTTTTTATAATTTTTAGATTTTACGTTTCTGAGTTATGGGGTTTTATTCATTAAAAAAAGGGGGATTTTCCAGTTTTCGGACAATAACTCAAGAATGCTTTCACTAACATTCAAGAAATTGTGGTGAATTGTTTATATCTATTGACATGAGCTCCCTTTCGATTTTTATAAATTTTAGATTTTACGTTCCGAGTTACAGGGTTTTATTCAGAAAAAAGGGGGATTTTCCAGTTTTTGGACAAAAACTCAAAAATGCTTTGAGCAGTTCTTATGAAACTTTGGTGAATTGTTTATATCTATTGATGTAAGCTCCGTTTAGAATTTTATAAATTTTACATTTTACATTTCTGAGTTATGGGGTTTTATTCATTAAAAAAGGGGGGATTTTCCAGTTTTCAGACAATAACTCAAAAATGCTGTCAGCAATTCTCGTGAAACTTTGGTAAATTGTTTATATCTATTGATGTAAGCTCCCTTTTGATTTTCATAAATTTCTAATATGACATTGAGAATTAATTGAACTTTATTTGTTTATAGTCTGAAAACAGATTTACTAAGTATTGCGCAACAGCACAGTGTATTACACAACAGCAAGAAATCTTTAATTGAATATAAATTCAATTCATATAACCAGTTTCAAGTTCTTTGACTAGATTTATTCAGAAACCTATAATATGTCAATTATTTAATTACAATCCAAATTCAGACCTGTATCAAGCTTGAATATTGTGTCCATTTTTGCCCCAACTGTTCAGGGTTGGACCTCTGCGGGCGTATCAAGCTGCGCTCAGCGAAGCAGTTTTTATTTATTTGTGGGCCCCGCTATCAAATTGGTTCATATTGAGGTCAAAAGGGTCCAAAATTAAACTTTGTTTATTAAACTTTGTTTGATTTCATCAAAAATTGAATTATTGGGGTTCTTTGATATGCCAAATCTAACCGTGTTTTTAGATTTTTAATTTTGGGTCCCTTTTTTAAATTGGTCTACATTAAGGTCCAAAGGGTCCAAAATTAAACTTAGTTTGATTTTAACAAAAATTGAATTTTTGGGGTTCTTTGATATGCTGAATCTAAACATGTGTTTAGATTTTTGATTATGGGCCCAGTTTTCAAGTTGGTCCAAGTTGGGGTCCAAAATTAAACTTTTTTTGATTTCAACAAAAATTGAATATATGGGGTTCTTTGATATGCTGAATCTAACCATGTATGTAGATTTTTTATTTGTGGGCCCCGCTATCAAATTAGTTCATATTGAGGTCAAAAGGGTCCAAAATTAAACTTTGTTTGATTTCATCAAAAATTAAATTATTGGGGTTCTTTGATATTCCAAATCTAACCATGTATTTAGATTTTTAATTTTGGGTCCCGTTTTTTAAATTGGTCTACATTAAGGTCCAAAGGGTCCAAAATTAAACTTAGTTTGATTTTAACAAAAATTGAATTCTTGGGGTTCTTTGATATGCTGAATCTAAACATGTGTTTAGATTTTTGATTATGGGCCCAGTTTTCAAGTTTGTCCAAGTTGGGGTCCAAAATTAAACTTTGTTTGATTTCAACAAAAATTGAATATATGGGATTCTTTGATATGCTGAATCTTACCATGTATTTTGATTTTGGACATTGGACCATAATAGGTAAATTAAAAAAATTCAAATTCTTAGACCACATTCTTTCTGTGTCAGAAACGTATGCTGTGTCAAATATTTAATCACAATCCAAATTAAGAGCTGTATCAAGCTTGAATGTTGTGTCCATACTTGCCCCAACTGTTCAGGGTTTGACCTCTGCGGTCCTATCAAGCTGCGCCCAGCGAAGCATTTTATTCATGTTTATATCATAAACGTTTTAATTGTTATCATGACTATATACATTACTGATACTTTGCATATAAATGTGCTTATAGACAAAATATTTGTCAGTTGCCTTTATTTTCCGTCATGATCTGTTGTAAAAAAAAAATGAAAATAACTCATTATAAATTTTATAACATAGTTTAAAAGGACCTTGAAGACTGCATTTTTTTTATTTATTATTTTTATTTCTGTTTCTGCTTCAGAGTTTATTTTAAAACTTCTTATGTTAATTGTTTATCACTAATTACTACAAGTTTATTTTTACTGTGGCTCTCTTATAGTAATCAAAGAATTATGCATAAAGGGTTCCCCAAAGATACTTGAAATTTTTTTCAATTTCCTTGCCAATGTTATGTCTTGTTACATTTAATATAGAGAGAGAATGTATGATTTACTTTTCACTTGACATAATTACATGTATGTCAGAGATATTGTATTTGTCAATGAAGATGTTTCAGTACATATTAGTCTAAAAAAAATCCCCAATATTTTTAAATAGCAAGGTTTCCTTTAAATTATAGCAACACATTCAGAATACATTCAATTATAAAATCTCTTTAGATACCACCATGGTAAATATATAGTATCATTGTGCTAATAAGCCCTGTGTGATTTTTAAACATACATCCTTTGTCAGCATGCAGTTGAGACACAGCTGTATTTATACACATTTTTTTTACTTGAGCACATCTAGTAGATGTGAGCGATATATGTTATTGTTAACATTTGTATGTTGGTGCTTTATGAATCATTAATATCTTAGTTTTCTTATTACATCTTTTCTATTTGTTAAAAAGGTTCAATAAAAGTGTTTTATCTGAATATCTTTTATTTACCAGAGTTATTACTACAGTTATTTCCCTTATACCAGTTCACATGCACACAATTGTGATCTTATGTGCTGTTTACAAAGACAATTCTTCTTTCAATCTCATAGACTACTGGATATACTAGAGGGAACTAAAGTTTATCTATTTATTGCAGGCAACTTTTTCATTAAGGCCCAAACAGGTATCTACAGAAACACAGTTAAGACCTGTAGGC